CCCCCCAAAAAAGTCTCTCCACAAGGAACGCCCCAGCCGCAGTGCCCCCCCTCTCCGCCCGGGGGCCCTCTGCCGTCGGGGAGGGCAAGGGGGCCCGCGTCGGCCTCGGCACGCCGTGCCCCCAGCGGCTCGGCCCCGCCCCTCCCGGGCGGGGCGCCCCCCGGCTACACTTAAGTCGGGCGTGTCCCCTACAGCAGGGGCATGTTTGAGGAAAAATAAAAAAATAAAAAAATGCCCCCAAAGGGCCAACACATACGCAAAACAAAGTCCCTGATCATGTTTTGACTATTTTTAAGATTCCCCCTGTAGAGGGAGAGGCCCGACTTAAGGCTACCCGGCTACCCGCGGGAGAGGCCCCCCTGGGAGCCGCGCGGGGTTTGCTGAGGGGAGAAATCCTCCTCGGGAGCCTGCTTGCGGGAGTCCTCCTTCCTCCTCCCTCCCTCCCTCCTCCTCCTCCTTCCTCCCTGGGAGCGGCGCGGGGGGGGTATCATTGGATGCCAAGGCGGGTTATCTCGTGCCCTACCGCGGAACCTAGCCTACAAGCGGGCTGCACATTTCCCAACTGGCTCAGGTGGGTTAGCGATCCGGGCCAAATGTGCTCCGCCCTCTTGGTGGAGTGATCTAACCTCCCTATGCTACTTGGGTCATTCGCAACCCACTTATTTGATAGGTTAGGCCCGATATGACCCTCTTGGTGGAGTTATCTAACCTCCCTATGCTACTTGGGTCATTCGCAACTCACTTATAGGATAGGTTAGGCCCGATATGACCCATCCTGGCATCCACTGATAGCCGCACTTGTCCCCCCACCCCCCTCGCGCCGATCCCAGTAGGTGAGCGCAACTTGTGGTGCGCGACTTGCCGATCGCTGCACGCAGCGCGCGAAACTGGTGACCTGCGTGCTTGAACTTTGCCCCCCCCCCCCCCAACAAAAAACCGAAGAGAGACCTTTTGTTGAGCAGGGACCAACCGTCCCGGCATTGCTATAGGCCTACCACGACATGGTCTTAGAACCCAATTCTGTTCCAATAGCACAAGCGATGTTCTTAGACCATCTGCCCGATGTGTTAAAACAAAGCAATCCCAGCCAAACATGCCGTGCATCTCACAACAATTATGTTGTTCCAATCGTACTTCAGGACCACATCCCAGAAACAAGTTCAAGCACCTGGAAAAGTGTCGCAACAGTGTCGAACGAGTGTCTCCCAGGACCCGAGACACGCGAAAATCCTCAAGTGTCTGTACTTTATTAGTGCTCGAAGCTCTTCCTGGTGATCATCATAACACAACATAAGAAGGCAGGCTGGAACATGAAAACACAACCTAATAAGGCAAGTTTGTAAATCATAACCATCTATCCCGGTGCTTGCTTGGGCTAAGGTAGGTTGGAATATCATAACACAACAGGTTATTGGAACTTTCTTTGGTAGGCCTACAGGCGAGCTGGGACGCTTCGCCACTGCTTGATTCTGGGGTGCGACTTGCCGATCGTGGCACGCGGTGCGAACGTAGCGGCCTGCGAGCCTGGGCCTGCCCCACCCCCCCGCGCCCCCTCCCCGAACGCCGCGCACCAACGGCCACTCTGGCAAAGAGGCACTCCTCCTCCTCCTTCTCCTCCTTCTCCTCCTACGCTCCTCCTCCTCCTCCTCCTCTTGCTCCTCCTCCTGCTCCTCCTCCTCCTCCTCCTCCTCCTCCTCCTGCTCCTCCTCCTCCTCCTCCTCCTGCGCATGGGCAGCCCTCGGGATTCGGAGGACGAAGCCGACGACGAGGACACGCGTGCAGAGGGGGGGAACGAACGACGATGCGACAGGGGAGACGGCACCGCCAGGGCGGTGAAGCGCGCTGCGCCCTCGCGCGCGTGCTCAGACGAGGCCAGGACGATGCCAAATTCGGGCGAGGATACATCGAGAGCCTCTGATGCCCAGCGGCTCTGGCGGATGCATCGGGCGCCGCGGCCTTCTCGGAGCGTCCGGGAACGCTCGGGAACGCACCTGAATGGAGGATGACGATTAATGAATGACCGGGGGTCGTGTTCACGCGGCGGCGCCCGGGATGACGATTAGAAAACCCGGCCGCGGGCTGGAAAACTATTCTTTTGTTTTGAAAAAAAGAAAAATCGTTCTCCCCCAATCAGAAAATTGCAGAAATAGCAGAGAACTATTTTGTAAATCGTTCTCTCCCTTTTTTTATTACTCGTCATCCCGCATTACTCCTCGCCCTGGCCCCGCCCCGGCGTGCGCCACGCAGGGGAGGTGGGCGGGAAAGGGGGGAGGCGGGGGGCAGCACCCGGCAAAACACGCAGGCAGAGGTGAAGCGGGCGGCCGCGCGGGGAGCGGCGGCCTCGCCATATCGCTTGGACGTCCTTTCTCTGTGTTTTTTGTCGGTTCCGTGCGTGGGTTTTCTCGCCAAATGATCAAGGATGCTCCTCGATGGCCCTCGCCGAAGGAAAAAGGCACACGTCCGAGCGATGCCAAGAGGCCGTCGGGGCGGCCGTCGGGGGGGCGGCCGTCGGGGCGGCCGTCGGGGCGGCCGTCGGGCGCGGGAGCAGCGCGGGGAGCCGCGCGGCCGCCGCCGCCAGCGGCGGCGCGGGGCGCGACCCTCCCCCTCCCCGAGGGGCATCGACAGGGGGGCGCTGACTTAGGGGGGGGGGATGCAGGAATCGGCGAGACGTCGCCGATAGATCGGCGATCGGCCCCCGAGAGCGAGTCCGAGTCTTCCTGCGCATCTTGGGGCTGTCAGGCCCCTATCGGCGATGAGTGGGCGATTGGGGATCGATGCATCCCCTCCCATGCCCATCCCTCCCTATCGCTGCCCCCGACTCCCCCTTTGCTCCCGCAGATGGCTTTCGACCAGCGCGGGACGGGAGAGACAGGTGCACGCCCGCACAGACTCGGAGGAATGCGAGCGTTGAGACAAGGGCAACTCGACATCGCTCCCCGGATCCCTACCGGGGCCCAAGCGCACAAATTTTCCGAGCTGCGTTCAGCCGTGGCGACCAGGGGGCCCCCCAGAAGGCCGACTACCCTTGTCTCAATTCGCCCTCCTCTGACAGACCGAAGTGCGCACGGCTCCCCTCACTGGAACGGGTTCATGTCGGGCCCCCACACCAGCCCTTGCGCCCCGTTCAGCACCCACCGCTCCAGCCGGACGCCCTCGAGCAGCGGCGACGGCCGACGGCCGGGTCGGACGGAAGGTGGGGGTGGGGTTCGTAAAGGGGGGGTTGGCGAATCAGCTCGCGTGGCTGGTTCTCCCAGAACCGCGGGCGCCCATGTGTATCGAAGAAGGCACCCGACGGCGGGGCCGAAACCAGGTGCAAGCAGCAGGCCCCCCCCCCCCTTTTTCAGGGGCAGCGTTGGGGGGGGGGGGGGGGGAGGGCGCTCAAGGGGGAACACCCAGCTGGATTCGGCGATGCATCGCTCGGGCCTCTGTCGGCTGGTCGGGACGGGTCCCTGGCACACCAGGAACGCTCTCGGCGAGGCGCATCTGCTGGAGAGCACCCCGTGGCTGGCAAAACGCCGACGCCCGACGAGGACGCCCGACTGCCTCGAACCTGGAGCCTGTCGTCTCCCCCCTGGGCCAATTCACCCCCTCGCGTTGCCCCTGACTAACCACTCACTGTTTTCGGGCCATGCCATTCGGGACGGTTGTGGCACCCCCAGAACGCCCTCGGCAAATCGCCAGTGATGGGAACCACCCTGGGCTTCGGAAACTTTCGAAACCTCCGGACAACCTGCCCAACGTTGCCTGCCCCCGTCATTTGTTTTGGTTGTCATTTTCTGTTTGTTTGTGTGGTTTGTTGCTTGTTTGTTTGTTTTTCGTTGTTGTTCCACGGCGACATGCTCATCGAATCCCCTTGCAGACGACAGCGGGTCCGGAAAACGTGACCCGGGGGCGAAGTGTTCCCCAAACGAGCGGCGGGTACCGCACGTCCTTTGTACACTATTGTGCCAGCCCTCTGCTGAGACTCTTCCGTCGACGCGCGGAGGCACCGAGCACGAAATGGAGGGGGAGGGAGGGCAGTGGGAGGACGCTAACCAGCGATGGGCAACGCCTCGCACGCCTCACTTGGTGCAGCCTGCGGCGAGTGGCAACAGACGCACAAGCCGAGATGAAACATGCGGAACAGAGAGAAATCCAAAAATCACCTTCGCGCGTCCGCCCGCCGAAGCCTCACTATTGAAGGGGCCCTGGGACACACACAAATAAATACACACAAATAAAAGGATTCCCCATATTTTCCCATATTTTCTGGGTTTCTGTCTTCCCCCCCACTTCCCATATGTTCCTATATGTTTCTGGGGGATCGACGATTAATTGTGTCTGTGTGTTTTTTTTTCTCTTCCTGAACTATGGTCGCGTCTGCAATGTAATCTCGCGCGTGGGCACCCCGCACCGGCTCAGACTGGCGGGACTCGCGCTGGTGCCCCAGCGCGGGAGGCATGGAGGGCGAGCGAGGAGGGCGGAGCACAGCCACGTCAAGAAACCAAAGCGCGACGACACCTGGAGGCTGGGCGAGGGCTGGCAAAGCCGTGGCTGCCAGAACGGTCTGCCCGGAAGGAAGAAAAGCACCGCATTCCCGGAATCGACCTCGACGCACTCTACAGCAAACGGGCTGCTCCCCGGAAGAAGCAACAAAACCATCTCCAGGAGCTCCGTCTTAGCAGCCACGGGCTTGCCAGCCGCCGCCCGGCTTCCGAGACCCACCGCCCGCCCCCCCCGCCCCCCCCCGAACGCTGCCCCTGCGTGGCGGGGGCCTGGCCTCCACGGCGCCCCCCGGGGTGCCCGCCGCCACGCGCAGGAGTAGGGGGCCAACTGCAAACCCCACCCCTACCCCCCACGATTTCTGAGGGGGGGGGGGGGGGTTTGCTTCGTTCGGGAGCTCCCGAGCGAAGTGAACCCCACCGTCCCCCACAGAAATCGTGGGGGGCAGGGGTGGGGTTCGCAGGTGGCCCTCTAAGGAGGCGCGCCCGCCCCCGGAAGGGCCCCCGCCGTGCGGGCGGCTACGCCGCGGGCCACTCGCCGAGGCTCAGGGCGCTCGGCAGAGGGCGGAGCGGAGCGGGGCGGCGGCCACGCAGCCGTCCCCGCGGGATGGCTCCACGGCGCGAGGCGCGGGCGGGGGAGGCCGGAGGTGCATCCGACACCGCAGCGGTGAGGCCGTGAGGCGTCGTGCGGCGCGGCAGGAGCGCCACGGAAGGAAGGAGGAGCAGCGAGAGACAGGGCACTCTTGCTCAAGGGCGTTTTTTTTTTTTTTTTTTTTTTTTTTTTTTTTTTTTTTTTTTTTTTTTCTCTCTCTCTCTCTCTCTCTCTCTCTCTTTTTTGGGGGGCTTGTTCGGAACAGGACCTGAACACGAGACGCTTGACCCTGATCACGGGTAGCAGATCCACCCCTGGACCTCTCCTGGGGCGCGTTCTGACCCGAATGTCGAGGCGGATCCAGCCTTGGCCGCGAGGGCGCCCCTGGACGCCCTCGAACCGTGCGGAGCGAACCTCGAGCCTCTGAGCTTGACGCTGCCCCTGGCTTCCGGGCCCTACCGCGGGCCTCTGGCGGCCGCGCGGGTCGTGGGAAGATTCCGGGCAACACGAAGGATTGCAAAAAAACCGAAGGATTGCAAAACAAACCAGGATTGCAAAGGATTGCAAAAAAAAACCAAGGATTGCAAAAAAACCCTTCGGTTTTTTTGCAATCCTTCGAACGGCCTCGACGAGGCGCAGCCGATGGAAACCACTCCAGGTTGGGGAAACGTTCGACCACGCCCAGCAACCTTCTCTGTGCCAGGGGACCTGCCGACAGCTGACTCCCGTCCGACCCGGGATAGCCGTCCCACAGCTGCGTCAGCGCCCGCTGGAAGCCGCCGCGCAGCACCGCGGCGCGCAGGGTCGGCCGCAGCTCCAGCGCTACCTGCGCCGCGCGCGGGCCGCGCTCGCGGCTGTACATGCAGTGGAACACGCAGAGGGCTCCGCTGCCAGCTGCCAGCTCCGCCACCTCTGGAGGGACAGCCAGCCCAAATCTCCGATGCTGCCCAAGCTTTCGGGCCTGGTGTTCGGGCATCTCCGAGGTTTGCGGAGGTTGTCGGGGCCTGGGGTAGTTTCCATCAGCTGCGCCTAGTCGCGAGGGTTCGGGGGGTACCAGGATTGGCCCGAACGGATGCTGGAAACCCACCCAAAGTATGAGCCGAAAACCCAAATCCCCGACAATATGATCTTTTCAATCTGGGCGCCTTCCCTCGATTTCGGCCTCTGGAACCCATCATCGGGCTCGGGGACAGTCAGAAATGAATCTGGGGCGGAAAACTACGCACAGGGAGGGGGTCGGGACCTCTGGGGCGGCTCAATTTGGAATGAACGACTTGAGCGTCAATGCGATGGTGGTTACTGCTGTCTGCTTGCGCAGTCGAATACATCACAAAAAGGCCGACCCACCAGTTCATACTCTGCATGGTGGTTGGGCTATTACGCAGGCGGTCCACGCAGAACCCCCGCCCCGCCAACCACCATTTAGGGTTAAGAAATGGCGGTGAGGAATTCTGGGTTCATATCTTCTTGCGTCAGACTTTTTTGTACACTGGATCAACCATCAACGCCCCAACCACCATGTCGGAAATTCAAATCAGTGTTGAGGGCTCGAATTTGCCTGGCGGGGCCGTCAGAAAAATGGCGCGCCCCGTCTGAACTCTGGCGCGGCCTCCCGCTACAAAGATACCACAAACAACTGGCCGTGAAAACTCCAGCCGGGACCCTCAGAGATCGGCGGCAAAGCAGAGTTCCGGCAAGAGGAACAGCAACCTGCGTGAACAGAAACTTTCGGAGCTCCGCGCGGTTTTCTCGGATCGGGGATGGACAGACCTCCCTTTAAGTAAAACGTGGTCTAGTGAAAACGACCCGAGGCCCAAACCTGGCGGGCGCGAGCCTGGAAAATACCGGCCGCGCGCCCTCTCGAGAACCGAAAACGGACAATTCACTGATCGACGTGTCACTGTTGGGGGCTCTGTCCACCCCCGAAAACTTTCGGAGCTCCGCGCGGTTTTCTCGGATCGGCGCTCGGCCTCCCTGGCGGCGCCTCCGGCACTGCCCTTGGCGCCGTCCGCGCGCCAGGGAGAGAAGGGCCAGCGCAGGTCCCAAGAGATCCGCGTGGAGCTCCGGAACACTCTCGCCATCGCTCGGACGTCCTTTCCCTGTGTTTTTTTCGGTTTCGTGCGTGGGTTTTTCGCCAAATGATCAAGGATGCTCCTCGATGGTCCTCGCCGAAAGAAAAATGCACACGTCCGAGCGATGCCAAGCACTTGCGCTTGGCCCAATTTGGTAAATTCGAACCTCACGGGCGCTCTCGTGCAGGTCGTCCGGGTCCCAGTGCTCGCGGCGGCTGCAAAAGGGGCGAGCAGCCCCAGGGGGTGACACAAAGCATGGAAGCCAGGGGCTCCGACCGCCGACGACTTCGGCCAGGCTCCCCAGCGAGGGCGTGTCATGCCCGCCCTGGGCTGTCCGCTCCTGTTGCTTCCGCCGTGGCTCGAACGGGACGTGGAAACTGCCGGCGAGGAAGCCATCTGCTCGCTCCTCCTCCGAGCGCACGTCGACGATCATGGCGCCGTCGGCGACCGCGGCTGCAAGCTCGACGACGTCCAGGAACTCGACTGGATCTGGGAGGTCCGGAAGTTCGGGCAGCAGCAGCGCCGCCAAGCCAGAGCCGCGCTGCGCCATGAAGGCAGCGGGCCTACCCCTGGGCCCAGCCCGCGACCCGACCCAGCGCGGCTTGAGCCAACATGCGGAGCAAAAACGGCAAAACAGGGGAACAAACAAAAACAACGGCGCGCGGAAGAGGGGAAGGTCTCTCCCAACCCGCTCTCCTGCCCTCCTTCGCCTCCTCCTCCTCCTCCTCCTCTTCCTCCTCCTCCTCCTCCTCCTCTTCCCTCCTGGCAAATCGTCGGGGAGGGTAGGTATGGGAACGACAAACAAATTTTCTCAGGCCGTTACGCTCAACTCGAAAGGTAACGATCAATCACTTGAGCCAAACGGCGTCGATCGCGACGCACGTTCAATAACAACAACAGTGCCGTTCTCCCGACCCAGTTACCCTCGTCATAAGTACCACCCCCCCTTCGGTCAGTATTGGCCGCACCAATTACGGGGAAGGTGTTGTAACAAACGGGCGAATGCGCCCGGCCACCAGCCCTCATTGCGTCACCGCCGTGGTAGTCGGAACACAACATGGGTAACCTGTTTGCGGACTCGCCTGGGTCACAGTAGTCCGTGCTCGGCCAGGCGTTCTGGAACTGCTCGATGTCGGTCCTTGAACTTGGCGGTCTTGCTCGTAACAGCGTCATGGAAGCCAGCAGCTTCCCAGAAGGTGCGGTCAGGTCTTGCCTCATGCGGCGGAGCTCGTAACAATTGTTGGGGTTAACCAACCATCGGCTGCCCTCCACCCGCGTGTCGAAGTCACGACCTGGCAACATCACTTGTCACAGAAATTATTACTTGCGCTGGTTCGAACGGCGCCTAAAGCCCGGAGCAGTTAATGGTAACGAGCCAGCATGCGCGTTGATGAAACGAACGTTGGTGGACATCGAATCAAAACCTTCAGGATCGTCTGGTGCCAGACGGTCTCGGGTGGCTCCAGCTCTGCCTTGAGCTCATCCCCGTTGAACTGCTCGAGGGTATCGTACTGTTGGTGGAATACCTCTAATCCATCGGCAATCTAGGAGAAGTACTCGTCTAACTCTTGGGTGGCAAACCTAACGGTCATGGTGCCCCTGGTAATCTCCCCATAAATACTCCACGGCTGCTCGCATCACACTTGAACTCCGATGATGAACAGGTTCCCGGGCCAGCACATGCCAAACCAGGTAACGACTAACTCCAGCAACTTCTTCTCCTGTAACTCCAGAAGGTCCTGGGTGTAGATCTGCGACTCTGGAACGTGACTCGGGAATCCTGGACGCGAGCGTGCGGTGAACTTCGGGTGTAACTCAGCGAGGCTCCTGGGTACCTGATAACCGCGGGCCAACTTTCATTGCAGTGCTGACATTGCCTGAACCCATAATCAACTCATGCTGCTCTCCCCTGTCCTTAGAGAGCTCGGTCTGCCACACTGGCAGGCCTTCTAATAGCGTCATGGGTTGCTGTCGGTACATGTCCCCGAATAAAGGCACGAAGCTCCTCCTCCTCCTCCTCCGCCCTCCACGGAGCAGGGAGGAGGAGGAGGAGGCGGAAAAAGAGGAGGAGCAGGAGGAGGAGGAGGAGGAGAGGGAGGACCAGAGCAAACCTAATATTCATCAGCAAAGTTGCAACAAACCCTCCCTCCGAGTTCCCTCTTCGTAGGTGCCTACAAAGATCAATCTTCACTGCGGGAAATGCCCGTTGAGAGTCAACCGTCTGAAAATCCTGAACCGTGCCAGGCCACTGCCCAGGGGATTTCAACTTCGCGAATCAACATTGCTGATGAGTCCTGACGATCCTGAACCGCGCCAGAACACAATTCCTGGGATTTCGACACCGCGAATCAACAGAACTGTTGCGCCCTGACAGTTCCATATCGTGCCAGAACACAAGATCAGGAGATCAGCCATCACAAACCTTGAAACCATTGTGAACTCTTGAGAAGAATGTGCGCGGGGCTAAGGCGGGCACAGCATTTTGAAACAAGGAACCGCCCTCCATCGGTGAAGCTATTGCAAACTTTCAAGCTGGTTGTGCGCGGCTCACAAGCGACAACCACACTTTGAAAACCACCCGCCCTCCACCCGTGACGCTCTTGCAAATTTCCCGAACGAATGAGACCGGCGCTGAAGCGAGAATCGCATTGTGAAAACCACTCGCCCTCCATCCGTGAAGATCTTACAAACTTCTGAAACGAATGGAAGCGGCGCTACAGCGAAACACCTATTTTGAATCCCACCCGCCTTCCGTCCATGAAAATGCTGAAACTTGAAACGTAAGCATCAGAAGTGGTTGGAATCTCTCAAGGTGAAGCGCCCGGCCCGCCCTAACAACGCGTCTCGGGGTGCGACAAGGTGAAGCGATGCAGAAGGAAAAAGAGCGGATAAGGATGATGATGGTGAGGATGCTGATCATGATGGTGGTGATGATGCTGATGCGGATTATGATGCAGATGTTGTGGGTGATGGTGAGGAGGAGGAGGTAGAGGTTGAGAAAGAGGCGGCGCAAAAGGAGCAGGAGAAGGAGCAGGCAGAGGAGGAGGAGGAGGAGGATAAGGAGGAGCAAGAGGAGAAGGAGGAGGAGGAGGAGACAGAAGGGGGAGGAGGAAGAGGAGGAGAAGGAAGAGGATGAGGAAACGGAGGATGAGAATGAGGAGGAGGAGGAGGAGGAGGAGGAGATGAAGGAGAAAGAACAGGAGGAGGATGCGGGCATCCTGCGCCGTGCATCCACGCTCCTCGCCGCGGCCGCCCTGGTCAGCCCCCGCCGCCCCTTCTTCCCCCCCCAAGTGACTCTGCGAACGGCGGGACGGGTGCAGCGGGGGCAGAGACGGGGACGGGCCTGCGGCACCAGCGCCAGGCGACAGGTGCTTGGAGAACCACCTGAATTTGCGTGTGCGTGTGTGTCCGTAGCTCTGGCTCAAGCTGCTGGGGATCAAGCCCTGGAGCATAGCTTCATAAAATGCGGCCGGCCTGGTGCACCAAGCCCATTGCGATGCAGCCTCGCTTGCGCGTTGATGCCTTGGGGCGGTCCGTCGCTGGGGTGCCGCCCGCGTCGCCGCTGCGGGTTGAGCAAACGATTGTCGTGAGCGACCACTCCACGCCAACGGCCATCGTGACGCCGCCCAGCGTGCCAATTGTGGATACCTGCGCGATCACTCCAACGCTGCGCTCTTCGATCGAGTGCCTGGTGGACAACCGCGTCGGGCAGGCTGGTCGTCAGACTGGGGGCGCCCTGGCGCAGCAGAGCCGCCGCGAGGCGAACGCGTCCGTGGCCGTCGCAGTGCCGCAGGCGGAGCAGGGCCGCCGCCAAATGGAGATGGCTCTTCGGAGGGAGGGTGACCAGCTGGCAGGCCTGGCGGATGGCCACGCGCGTCTCGCGGCGACGGTGGACGCACTGCGCGCGGGAGACGGGCAAGACTCGGCGCTCGCGCTGGAGCGCGTGGTGGCCACCGTGGAGGAGCTGCAGAGCACGGCGGGGGCAGGATGCCGAGAGCGTCGGGGCCAGGCTGCGGGGAAGGCCGCGGCCATGGACAAGCTGCGGCGCCGGCAGGCTGACGACACCGCCAGGCACCGCGCGGGCATCTCGGAGCTGCAGCGGCTCCAGAGCGACAGCGCTGCCAAGCGTCACGTCGTCATTGTACTGGGCACCGCCAGCTGTGCGATAGTCGACAGGAATACGCGCCGGGATCCAGGTCTGCCAGGTAATAGGGAGTACGTGAATGATGTGGAAGGTCAGGTTCCAGGGGATCAAACGCGGATAGTCCCAGATTCGTTTCGTGGTTCCCCGGGGTGCTGACAACATAGTTGCAACACACTTCATCATCTCCCCGCTCTGCTCTGCCTAATTCTCCCCCGGCTCTGACAACATAGCCACCAAGAGCTCGGGACGGTTCGCCAACAACGGATATGTGAACGTCGGATCAATCAAATGTCTGACCCCCATCGGTTACACCCGCGGACGGATGCAATGAAGGCGTCGTGTCCGTTGGCTCATAGTCGCAGGAAGTTCGGGACCGTTCGCCGACACCATAAACGTTAACGTTGTGTCAAGCAACCAGTCCAGCGTCTGAAGTCGCACTCATAGGCGTGTGCACTGAGGCTCGTGCTCATACATCGTCTGCGCAAGCCTGGGGCTCTGAGCCGAGAGAGGAGGCGGCACGGGGCCGCGGCACTTGTAGTCGATGTGCTCGTAGTGGTACATGTGAGCGAGCCTCTCCCTGTGGACGCTCCTGGCGGCTGGGCGGAGTCCGCCCTGACGGTCCCTAGAGAGCCGTCGCCTGCCACGATGACCGGTTGGGAGAACATGAACACGATGCACCGTTGAGCACGGCGAGCACGGGGCCCTTGAAGAGGCTGTCCTTGATGATGTTCACGAACACGACGGAAGATGGGCGCCGTTGCCTTCGAAGCAGGGCGACGATATGATGACGCCATGCAGGCCATGGCGTCGTGCAGAAGGGAGCCGGAGCCCCGCATGCCAGGATCGGATGTGGCACTTGTCAACACGAAGGATACGGGTTGCCAGGCGTCGGGGGCGACGGTGGGGGTGAGGAGCCCAAGGAGGAAGAGGAGGAGGAGGAGGAGGAGGAGGAGGAGGAGGAGGAGGAGGAGGAGGGAGGAGGAGGAGGAGGAGGAGGATGTGGTACAAAGGCGGACGCCTTGGGGCGCAACCGGCGGCGGACGGAGGGCAGGAACAGCAGGCAGAGTACACTCAACTACCGTTCGAGTGAGAAGATGATGAGGAGGAGGAGGAGGGGGAGGAGGAGGGGGAGAAGGAGGAGGAAGAGGAGGAAGAGAAGAAGGAGGAGGACGAGAACAAGCTCAATATCCATTCCTATCATAAGGGCGTGGCCACCCCATGGGGTCTGCGGAAACAGCGACAGCGCACAGATTAAACCGAGAGACGAGGGATCATCAACCTTTTTTCATCAGGCAAGCGCCGTGGGACACACGGTGGTACTCTAAAAACTCGAGCCGGGGAAGTGGAACCACTTCAGCGGCTAAGTGCAATCACCAAAAATTGCCACACACACACACAGTACATTT